ATCCCGAAATTTGTGAGGAAAAGGCAACAAAAAATCCAAATTTTGTGGGGAAAAGGCACTCAAAATTCCAAATTTTGTGGGGAAAAGGGGCCAAAATCACCCAAAATTCCAAATTTTGTGGGGAAAAGGGACCCAAAATCCCGAAATTTGTGGGGAAAAGGCACCAAAAATCTCGAAATTTGTGGAGAAAATGGACCCAAAATCACCCGAAATTCCAAATTTTGGGGGGAAAAGGGACCGAAAATCCCAAAATTTGTGGGAAAAAGGTACCAAAAATTCCAAATTTATCGGGGAAAAAAGGACAAAAAATCGCAAAACTCCAAATTTTGTGGGGAAAAGGGACCAAAAATCTCGAAATTTGTGGGAAAAAAGACAAAAAAATCCCAAAATTCCAAATTTTGTGAGGAAAAGGGACGCAAAATCCCGAAATTTGTGGGGAAAAGGGACCAAAAATCCCGAAATTTGTGGGGAAAAGGCACCAAAATTTCCAAATTTTGTGGGGAAAAGGGACCCAAAATTCCGAAATTTGTGGGGAAAAGGGACCAAAATCACTCAAAATTCCAAATTTTGTGAGGAAAAGGGACCCAAAATCCCCAAATTTGTGGAAAAAATGGACCCAAAATCACCCGAAATTCCAAATTTTGGAGGGAAAAAGGGACCCAAAAATCCCGAAATTTGTGGGGAAAAGTACAAGAAATTCCAAAATTCCAAATTTTGTGAGGAAAAGGGACCCAAAAATCCCAAAAATTGTGAGGAAAAGGCACCAAAAATTCCAAATTTTGTGGGAAAAAGGGACCAAAAATTCCAAATTTTGTGGAGGAAAAGGACAAAAAATCCCAAAAGTCCAAAGTTTGTGAGGAAAAGGCACCAAAAAATCCAAAATTTTGGGGAAAAAGGCACCAAAAATCCTGAAATTTGTGGGGAAAATGGACCCAAAATCACCCGAAATTCCAAATTTTGGGGGGAAAAGGGACCAAAAATCCCAAAATTTGTGGGAAAAAGGCACCAAAAATTCCAAATTTTGCGGGGGAAAAGGACAAAAAATCCCAAAATTCCAAATTTTGTGAGGAAAAGGCACCAAAAATCCCCAAATTTGTGAGGAAAATGGACCCAAAATCACCCGAAATTCCAAATTTTGGGGGGAAAACGGACCCAAAAATCCCGAAATTTGTGGGGAAAATGAGCCAATACCACCCGAAATTGCAAATTTGTGGGGAAAAGGCACCAAAAAATCCCAAAATTTGGGGGGAAAAGGGCACAAAATCCTCAAAATGCTGAAATTGGAGGGAAAAGGGACTCAAAATTCCCCCAAATTCCAAAACTGGAGGGAAGAGGGACCTGGAATGACTCAAAATCCTGAAATTTGTGGGGAAAATTCCCCAAAATCCCAAATTCTGAGGGAAAAGGGACCCAAAATCCTCAAAAATCTGAAATTTGTGGGGAAAGGGAGCCAAAATTCCCCAAAATCCCAAAATCTGTGGGGGAAATAGGAACGAAATTCCAAAATTTGTGAGGAAAAAGGAGCCAGAACCACCTGAAATCCCAAATTTTGAGGGGGAAAGGGACCCAAAAATCCCCAAAATCCCAAAATTTGAGGGGAAAAGGGATCAAAAATTACCTGAAATCCCAAAATCTGTGGGGAAAAGGGACCCAAAATTCCCCAAAATTTGAGGGAAAAGGTCCCAGAAATCCCAGAATTTGGGGGGGAAAGGGACCCAAAAATCCCCAAAATCCCAAAATTTGAGGGGAAAAGGGACCCAGAATTCCCAGAAATTCCAAAATTTGAGGGGGAAAGGTCCCAAAATTACCCAAAATCAAAAAAAATTGTGATGAAAATAAACCCGAAATCCCAAAATTTGAGGGGAAAAGGGACCCAAAAATCCCCAAAATCCCAAAATCTGAGGGGAAAAGGGGCCCAAAAATCCCCAAAATGCCAAAATTTGAGGGGAAAGGGAACCAAAATCACCCGAAAACTGAGGGGAAAGGGACCCAAAATTACTCAAAAATTCCAAAATTTATGGGGAAAGGGACCCAAAATCACCCGAAATCCCAAAATTTGAGGGGGAAAAGGTCCCAAAAATCCCCAAAATCCCAAAATTTGTGGGGAAAGGGACCCAAAATCACCCGAAATCCTAAAAACTGAGGGAAAAGGGACCCAAAATTACTCAAAAAAATCCAAAATTTGAGAGGAAAAGGGACCCCAAAACCTCCTGGGAGCCCCAAATTTGGGACCAAACCACCCCAAAATTCAAAATTTGGGACCAAACCACCCCAAAACTCCGAAATTTGGGACCAAACCACCCCAAAATTCAAAATCTGGGACCAAACCACCCCAAAATTCCCAAATTTGGGATCAAACCACCCCAAAATTCAAAATTTGGGACCAAACCACCCCAAAATTCAAAATCTGGGACCAAACCACCCCAAAATTCCCAAATTTGGGACCAAACCACCCCAAAACCCCCAAATTTAGGCTCAAACCACCCCAAAACTCCCAAATTTGGAACCAAACCACCCCAAAATTCCCAAATTTGGGACCAAACCACCCCAAAATTCAAAATTTGGGATCAAACCACCCCAAAATTCAAAATTTGGGGTCAAACCACCCCAAAATTCCCAAATTTGGGGTCAAACCACCCCAAAATTCGAAATTTGGGACCAAACCACCCCAAAATCCCCAATTTTGGGACCAAACCACCCAAAAATCCCCAAATTTGGGCTCAAACCAGCCCAAAACTCCCAAATTTGGGACCAAACCACCCCAAAATCCCCAAATTTTGGGTCAGACCACCTCAAAATTCCCAAATTTGGGACCAAACCACCCCAAAACTCCCAAATTTGGGACCAAACCACCCCAAAATTCAAAATTTGGGACCAAACCACCCCAAAAACCCCAAATTTTGGGCCAAACCACCCCAAAACCCCAAATTTGGGACCAAACCACCCCAAAATTCCCAAATTTGGAACCAAACCACCCCAAAATCCCCAAATTTGGGACCAAACCACCCCAAAATCCCCAAATTTGGGCTCAAACCAGCCCAAACCTCCCAAATTTGGGACCAAACCACCCCAAAACTCCCAAGTTTGGGATCAAACCACCCCAAAATTCCAAAATTTGGGATCAAACCACCCCAAAACCCCCAAATTTGGGACCAAACCACCCCAAAACTCCCAAATTTGGGACCAAACCACCCCAAAATCCCGAAATTTGGCACCAAACCACCCCAAAATTCAAAATTTGGGACCAAACCCCCCCAAAATTCAAAATTTGGGATCAAACCACCCCAAAATTCCAAATTTGGGACCAAACCAGCCCAAATTGCCCCAAAATCCCCAAATTTGGGGTGAAATAAAAACTCCTGGAGCGTTTTGGGTTCATCCGAGACCTTTATTGGTGTGGGCAGGGACAGAGGGGACACAGAGTGACCACAGAGTGACCACAGAGTGACCACAGAGTGACCAATGAGTGACCAATGAGTGACCACAGAGTGACCACAGAGTGACCAATGAGTGACCAATGAGTGACCAATGAGTGACCAATGAGTGACCACAGGGTGACCACAGAGTGACCAATGAGTGACCACAGAGTGACCAATGAGTGACCAATGAGTGACCACAGAGTGACCACAGAGTGACCAATGAGTGACCAATGAGTGACCAATGAGTGACCACAGAGTGACCAGTGAGTGACCAATGAATGATCACAGAGTGACCAATGAGTGACCAATGAGTGACCAATGAGTGACCACAGAGTGACCAATGAGTGACCACAGAGTGACCAATGAGTGACCAATGAGTGACCAATGAGTGACCACAGAGTGACCAATGAGTGACCAATGAGTGACCAATGAGTGACCAATGAGTGACCACAGAGTGACCAGTGAGTGACCAATGAGTGACCAATGAGTGACCAATGAATGATCACAGGGTGGTCAGTGGTCAATGATGTCCATTGGTGTCCATGGATGGTCAGTGATGTCCATCAGTGTCCATTGGTGTCCATCAGTGTCCATTGGTGTCCATGGGTGTCCTTGGGTGGTCAGTGGTGTCCATGGATGGTCAGTGATGGTCAGTGGTGTCCATGGATGTCCATTGGTGTCCATGGATGGTCAGTGGTGTCCATCGGTGTCCATGGATGGTCAGTGGTGTCCATGGATGGTCAGTGGTGTCCATGGATGGTCAGTGGTGTCCATGGGTGTCCATTGGTGTCCATGGATGGTCAGTGGTGCCCATCGGTGTCCATGGATGGTCAGTGATGGTCAGTGGTGTCCATGGATGGTCAGTGGTGTCCATGGATGGTCAGTGGTGTCCATCGGTGTCCATGGCTGGTCAGTGATGGTCAATGGTGCCCATGCATGGTCAGTGATGGTCAGTGATGGTCAGTGGTGTCCATGGATGGTCAGTGGTGTCCATGGATGGTCAGTGGTGTCCATGGGTGTCCATTGGTGTCCATGGATGGTCAGTGGTGCCCATCGGTGTCCATGGATGGTCAGTGATGGTCAGTGGTGTCCATGGATGGTCAGTGGTGTCCATGGATGGTCAGTGGTGTCCATCGGTGTCCATGGCTGGTCAGTGATGGTCAATGGTGCCCATGCATGGTCAGTGATGGTCAGTGATGGTCAGTGGTGTCCATGGATGGTCAGTGGTGTCCATCGGTGTCCATGGCTGGTCAGTGATGGTCAATGGTGCCCATGCATGGTCAGTGATGGTCAGTGATGGTCAGTGGTGTCCATGCATGGTCAGTGGTGTCCATGGCTGGTCAGTGATGGTCAGTGATGGTCAGTGGTGTCCATTGGTGTCCATGGCTGGTCAGTGATGGTCAGTGATGGTCAGTGATGGTCAGTGGTGTCCATTGGTGTCCATGGATGGTCAGTGATGTCCATGGATGGTCAGTGATGTTCAATGGTGTCCATGCATGGTCAGTGATGGTCAATGGTGTCCATGCATGGTCAGTGATGGTCAGTGGTGTCCATGGATGGTCAGTGGTGTCCATGGGTGGTCAGTGATGGTCAGTGATGGTCAGTGGTGTCTATGGATGGTCAGTGATGGTCAGTGGTGTCCATTGGTGTCCATGGCTGGTCAGTGATGGTCAGTGGTGTCCAAGGATGGTCAGTGATGGTCAGTGGTGTCCATGCATGGTCAGTGATGGTCAGTGATGGTCAGTGGTGTCCATGGATGGTCAGTGATGGTCAGTGGTGTCCATGCATGGTCAGTGGTGTCCATGCATGGTCAGTGGTGTCCATGGCTGGTCAGTGGTGTCCATGGCTGGTCAGTGATGGTCAGTGGTGTCCATGGCTGGTCAGTGATGGTCAGTGATGGTCAGTGGTGTCCATGGATGGTCAGTGGTGTCCATGGGTGGTCAGTGGTGTCCTTGGATGGTCAGTGGTGTCCATCGGTGTCCATGGGTGATCAGTAGGCGCGGTTTCAGTGGGCGTGGTTTCAGTAGGCGTGGTTTCAGTGGGCGTGGTTCCGGCAGGCGTGGTTTCAATGGGCGCGGTTCCGGCAGGCGCGGTTCCGGCGGGCGCGGTCTCGGGGGCGTGGTCTCGGGGGCGTGGCCTCAGTAGGCGTGGTTGGACACGAACAGGGACTCGCTGGCCGCCGCCCCCGCGGTGCCACTGGGGGTGTACTTACCCTGGCACGCCAGGGAGTTGGCCTGGGGACACCACAGGGGACATCAGGGGACATCAGGGGACATCACAGGGGACATCGGGGGGTGTTGGGGACATTGGGGACATTGGGGACACTGAGGGTGTTGCGGACATTGGGGACGTTGGGGACATTGGGGACATCAGGGGTGCTAGGGACATTGGGGACATTGGGGACATCAGGGGGTGTTGGGGACCTTGGGGACATCAGGGGGTGCTGGGGACATTGGGGACATTGGGGACATTGGGGACACTGAGGGTGTTGGGGATGCCCAGGAAGTTGGGGACATTAGGGACATCAGGGGGCGTTGGGGACATTGGGGACACTGAGGGTGTTGCGGACGTTGGGGACATTGGGGACACTGGGGACATCAGGGGGCGTTGGGGACATCGGGGACATCACAGGGGACATCAGGGACATCTCAGGGGACATCAGGGGGCGTTGGGGACATTGGGGACACTGAGGGTGTTGGGGACGTTGGGGACATTGGGGACATTGGGGACATCAGGGGGTGTTGGGGACATTGGGGACATCAGGGACACCACAGGGGACATCAGGGGGTGTTGGGGACATTGGGGACACTGAGGGTGTTGCGGACGTTGGGGACATTGGGGACATTGGGGGTGTTGGGGACATTGGGGACATTGGGGACACTGAGGGTGTTGGGGACATTGGGGACATCAGGGACATCTCAGGGGACATCAGAGGGTGTTGGGGACATTGGGGACATTGGGGACATTGGGGACACTGGGGACACTGGGGACATCAGGGGGTGCTGGGGACATTGGGGATATCAGGGGGTGTTGGGGACATTGGGGACATCAGGGACATCGGGGACATTGGGGACACGGGGACATCAGGGGGTGTTGGGGACATCAGGGGACATCAGGGACACTGAGGGTGTTGGGGACATTGGGGACATTGGGGACACTGAGGGTCTTGGGGACATTGGGGACACTGAGGGTGTTGGGGACACTGGGGACATTGGGGACACTGAGGGTGTTGGGGACATTGGGGACACTGGGGACATTGGGGACACTGAGGGTCTTGGGGACATTTGGGGACATTGGGGACATTTGGGGGACACTGAGGGTGTTGGGGACACTGGGGACATTTGGGGACATTGCGGGCGCTGCTGTCCCCACGGTCCCCAGTGACCTCCTGGGCCACCCTGTCCCTGTCCCTGTCCCTGTCCCTGTCCCTGTCCCTGTCCCTGTGTCCCCATGAGGTGTCAGCCCCCAAACCTTCTCCTGCCCACCCCCCCACCATTCCCCCCTGAGCCCCAGTGTCCCCAAGGTGTCCCCAAGGTGTCCCCAAGGTGTCCCCAGAGTGTCCCCAAGGTGTCCCCAATGTCCTCAAGACCCCAAATGTCCCCAAATGTCCCCACCTCACCCTCTGAACCCACCTCAGATGTGGCTCCCACCATTCCATGGTTGACCCAACTCAACCAATGCCCGACGTCCCCAAATCCCCCAAGGTTGTCCCCAAGATGTCCCCAAGGTGTCCCCAACGCCCTCAAGACCCCAAATGTCCCCAATTGTCCCCACCTCACCCTCTGAACCCACCTCAGATGTGGCTCCCACCTCCCCACGATTGACCCAGCCCAAATCCCCTCAATGTCCTCAATGTCCCCAAGGTGTCCCCAAGGTGTCCCCAACGTCCTCAAGACCCCAAATGTCCCTGACCTGTCCCCACCTCACCCTCTGCACCCACCTCAGATGTGGCTCCTCTGCTCCCACCTCCCCATGGTCAACCCAATCCAACCCAATCCCCAAATCCCCAAGATGTCCCCAAGTCCCTGAGGTGTCCCCAGAGTGTCCCCAAGATGTCCCCCACACCCTCAAGACCCCAAACGTCCCCACCTGACCCCTCTGAACCCACCTCAGATGTGGCTCCCACCTCTCCATGCTTGACCCAACCCAACCAACGCCCAATGTCCCCAAACCCCCAAGACCCCAATGGGTGTCCCCAAGTTCTTGAGGTGTCCCCGAGGTGTCCCCGAGGTGTCCCCAAGTGCCACCTACCAGGGCTCTCTTCACGTACTCCTCCTGGGCCGCCTTGGTGTTGTCCTTCTTGCCACCCCAGGCCTTGAGGGCCGAGGCCTGGAGGGCGCGGCCGTAGGAGAAGGTCAGGGCCCAGGGCCGGGGCAGGGGACAGCGATTGATGGCGTTGAGGTTGATGGAGGCCTCCTCCTCGCTCTGACCCCCCGACAGGAAGGTGATCCCTGAGGGGACACCAAAGGGACATTGGGGACATCGGCCTGGGGACAGTGACACGGCCCAGGGACAGCCCAGGGACATTGGGGACATTGGGGACAGCGATTGATGGCGTTGAGGTTGATGGAGGCCTCCTCCTCACTCTGACCCCCCGACAGGAACGTGATCCCTGAGGGGACATCGAGGGGACATTGGGGACATTGAGGTGACACCATGGGAACGTCGGGAGAGAGCAGGAATGGCACAGAAACATCACAAGGACATTGGGGACATTGGGGACATTGGGGACATTGGGGACAGCGATTGATGGCGTTGAGGTTGGTGGAGGCTCCTCCTCACTCTGACCCCCCGACAGGAACGTGATCCCTGAGGGGACATTGGGGACATTGGGGACATTGAGGTGACACCATGGGAATGTTGGGATAGAGCAGGAATGGCTCAGGGACAGCTCGGGGACATTGGGGACATTGGGGACATTGGGGACAGCGATTGGTGGCGTTGAGGTTGATGGAGGCTCCTCCTCGCTCTGACCCCTGAGGGGACATCGAGGGGACATTGGGGACATTGGCCTGGGGACACTGGGATGGCTCAGGGACAGCTCAGGGACATTGGGGACATTGGGGACATTGGGGACAGCTATTGGTGGCATTGAGGTTGATGGAGGCTCCTCCTCAGGGGACACCAAAGGGACATTGGGGACATTGGGGACATTGGGGACATTGGGGACATTGGGGACATTGAGGTGACACCGTGGGAACGTTGGGATAGAGCAGGAATGGCTCAGAGACAGCTCAGGGACATTGGGGACATTGGGGACAGCGATTGATGGCGTTGAGGTTGATGGAGGCTCCTCCTCACTCTGACCCCCCGACAGGAACGTGATCCCTGAGGGGACATTGGGGACATTGGGGACATCAGCCTGGGGACAGTGACATGGCTCAGACACGGCTCAGGGACATTGGGGACATTGGGGACATTGGGGACAGCGATTGGTGGCGTTGAGGTTGATGGAGGCTCCTCCTCGCTCTGATCCCCCGACAGGAACGTGATCCCTGAGGGGACACCGAGGGGACATTGGGGACATTGAGGTGACACCGTGGGAACGTTGGGATAGAGCAGGAATGGCTCAGGGACATTGGGGACATTGAGGTGACACCGTGGGAATGTTGGGATAGAGCAGGGATGGCTCAGGGACAGCCCAGGGACATTGGGGACATTGGGGACATTGGGGACAGCGATTGATGGCGTTGAGGTTGATGGAGGCCTCCTCCTCGCTCTGACCCCCCGACAGGAACGTGATCCCTGAGGGGACATTGGGGACATCAGCCTGGGGACACTGGGATGGCTCAGACACGGCTCGGGGACATTGGGGACATTGGGGACATTGGGGACAGCGATTGATGGCGTTGAGGTTGATGGAGGCTCCTCCTCGCTCTGACCCCCCGACAGGAACGTGATCCCTGAGGGGACATTGGGGACATTGGGGACATCAGCCTGGGGACACTGGGATGGCTCAGGGACAGCTCGGGGACATTGGGGACATTGGGGACATTGGGGACAGCGATTGATGGCGTTGAGGTTGATGGAGGCCTCCTCCTCACTCTGACCCCCCGACAGGAACGTGATCCCTGAGGGGACATCGAGGGGACATCAGCCTGGGGACAGTGACACGGCCCAGAGACAGCTCAGGGACATTGGGGACATTGGGGACATTGGGGACATTGGGGACATTGGGGACAGCGATTGATGGCGTTGAGGTTGATGGAGGCTCCTCCTGACTCTGACCCCCCGACAGGAACGTGATCCCTGAGGGGACATTGGGGACATTGGGGACATTGAGGTGACACCATGGGAACACTGGGATAGAGCAGGAATGGCTCAGGGACACTGGGGACATTGGGGACATTGGGGACATTGGGGTGACACCATGGGAACGTTGGGATAGAGCAGGAATGGCTCAGGGACAGCTCAGGGACATTGGGGACATTGAGGTGACACCATGGGAACGTTGGGATAGAGCAGGAATGGCTCAGGGACAGCTTGGGGACATTGGGGACATTGAGGTGACACCATGGGAACGTTGGGAGAGAGCAGGAATGGCTCAGGGACATTGGGGACATTGGGGACATTGGGGACATTGGGGACATTGGGGACATTGGGGACACTGGGGACAGCGATTGGTGGCGTTGAGGTTGATGGAGGCTCCTCCTCGCTCTGACCCCCCGACAGGAACGTGATCCCTGAGGGGACACCAAAGGGACATTGGGGACATTGGGGTGACACCATGGGAACGTTGGGATAGAGCAGGGATGGCTCAGGGACAGCTCAGGGACATTGGGGACATTGGGGACATTGGGGACAGCGATTGATGGCATTGAGGTTGATGGAGGCCTCCTCCTCACTCTGACCCCCCGACAGGAACGTGATCCCTGAGGGGACATTGGGGACATCGGCCTGGGGACACTGGGATGGCTCAGACACGGCTCGGGGACATTGGGGACATTGGGGACATTGGGGACAGCGATTGATGGCATTGAGGTTGATGGAGGCTCCTCCTCGCTCTGACCCCCCGACAGGAACGTGATCCCTGAGGGGACATCGAGGGGACATTGGGGACATCAGCCTGGGGACACTGGGATGGCTCAGGGACAGCTCGGGGACATTGGGGACATTGGGGACATTGGGGACAGCGATTGGTGGCGTTGAGGTTCAGGGAGGCTCCTCCTCAGGGGACACCAAAGGGACATTGGGGACATCGGCCTGGGGACAGTGACACGGCCCAGAGACAGCCCAGGGACAGCTCAGGGACATTGGGGACATTGGGGACAGCGATTGATGGCGTTGAGGTTGATGGAGGCCTCCTCCTCGCTCTGACCCCCCGACAGGAACGTGATCCCTGAGGGGACACCGAGGGGACATTGGGGACATTGAGGTGACACCATGGGAACGTTGGGATAGAGCAGGAATGGCACAGAAACATCACAAGGACATTGGGGACATTGGGGACATTGGGGACATTGGGGACGGCGATTGATGGCGTTGAGGTTGATGGAGGCCTCCTCCTCGCTCTGACCCCCCGACAGGAACGTGATCCCTGAGGGGACATTGGGGACATTGGGGACATTGGGGACATTGGGGACATTGGGGACAGCGATTGGTGGCGTTGAGGTTGATGGAGGCCTCCTCCTCGCTCTGACCCCCCGACAGGAACGTGATCCCTGAGGGGACATTGGGGACATTGGGGACATCGGCCTGGGGACACTGGGATGGCTCAGACACGGCTCGGGGACATTGGGGACATTGGGGACAGCGATTGATGGCGTTGAGGTTCAGGGAGGCTCCTCCTCCTGACTCTGACCCCTGAGGGGACACCAAAGGGACATTGGGGACATTGAGGTGACACCATGGGAACGTTGGGATAGAGCAGGAATGGCTCAGGGACAGCTCGGGGACATTGGGGACATTGGGGACATTGGGGACAGCGATTGGTGGCGTTGAGGTTGATGGAGGCTCCTCCTCGCTCTGACCCCCCGACAGGAACGTGATCCCTGAGGGGACATCGAGGGGACATTGGGGACATTGGGGACACGTGGTGGTCACTGAGGGGACAGCGACGGCTCCTCCTCGCTCTGAGCCCTGGGGACACCACGGGGACACTGAGTGACAAAGAGACACCATGCAGGGACACACAGGTGACACACACAGGTGACAATGGTGACACACACAGGTGACAATGGTGACACACACAGGTGACACACACAGGTGACAATGGTGACACTGACCTGGCACGGCGGGTGGCACTGTCCTGCGCAGCGCTGTCACCGTTGCCATGGCACACACACAGGTGACAATGGTGACACACACAGGTGACAATGGTGGCACTGACCCGGCACGGCGGGTGGCACTGTCCTGCGCAGCGCTGTCACCGTTGCCATGGCACACACACAGGTGACAATGGTGACACACACAGGTGACACACACAGGTGACAATGGTGGCACTGACCTGGCACGGCGGGTGGCACTGTCCTGCGCAGCGCTGTCACCGTTGCCATGGCACACACACAGTGACACACACAGGTGACAATGGTGACACACACAGGTGACAATGGTGGCACTGACCTGGCACGGCGGGTGGCACTGTCCTGCGCAGCGCTGTCACCGTTGCCATGGCACACACACAGTGACAATGGTGACACACACAGGTGACAATGGTGACAATGGTGACACACACAGGTGACAATGGTGACACACAGGTGACACTGACCTGGCACGGCGGGTGGCACTGTCCTGCGCAGCGCTGTCACCGTTGCCATGGCACACACACAGGTGACAATGGTGACAATGGTGACACACACAGGTGACAATGGTGACACACACAGGTGACACAGGTGACACTGACCTGGCACGGCGGGTGGCACTGTCCTGCGCAGCGCTGTCACCGTTGCCATGGCGATCTCCTCGGGGCTGTACTTGGTGGCACAGGCGTGTCCGGCTGTCACCATGTTGGGCTTCAGCAATGTCCCCTCCAGGTACACGTGGTGGTCACTGAGGGCCTTGTACACGGCTGCCAGCACCTGGGGACATTGGGGACATCATTGGGGACATTGGGGACATTGGGGTCACTGAGAGCCTTGTACACGGCTGCCAGGACCTGGGGACACAGTGGGGACATTGGGGACATTGGGGACATTGGGGACAATGAGTGCCTTGTACACGGCTGCCAGGACCTGGGGACATCAATGGGGACATCAATGGGGACATCAATGGGGTCACTGAGTGCCTTGTACACGGCTGCCAGGACCTGGGGACATCATTGGGGACACATTGGGGACATTGGGGACATTGAGAGCCTTGTACACGGCTGCCAGACCTGGGGACATCATTGGGGACACATTGGGGACATTGGGGACATCATTGGGGACACATTGGGGACATCACTGAGGGCCTTGTACACGGCTGCCAGGACCTGGGGACACATTGGGGACACATTGGGGACACATTGGGGACACATTGGGGTCACTGAGAGCCTTGTACATGGCTGCCAGGACCTGGGGACACATTGGGGACACATTGGGGACACATTGGGGACACTGAGGGCCTTGTACATGGCTGCCAGGACCTGGGGACATTGGGGACATCAATGGGGACACATTGGGGACATTGGGGACAATGAGAGCCTTGTACACGGCTGCCAGCACCTGGGGACATCAATGGGGACACCATTGGGGACACATTGGGGACATTGGGGTCACATTGGGGACATTGGGGACAATGAGCGCCTTGTACACGGCTGCCAGCACCTGGGGACATTGGGGACATCAATGGGGACATTGGGGACACCTTGGGGACATTGGGGTCACATTGGGGACATTGGGGACACTGAGGGCCTTGTACACGGCTGCCAGGACCTGGGGACATCAATGGGGACATTGGGGACATTGGGGACCTTGTACACGGCTGCCAGCACCTGGGGACACCATTGGGGACATTGGGGACATTGAGGGCCTTGTACACGGCTGCCAGGACCTGAGGACATTGGGGACATCAATGGGGACACATTGGGGACACATTGGGGACATTGGGGACATTGAGAGCCTTGTACATGGCTGCCAGGACCTGGGAACATTGGGGACATTGGGGACATTGAGAGCCTTGTACACGGCTGCCAGGACCTGGAGACATTGGGGACATTGGGGACATCATTGGGGACATCATTGGGGACATTGGGGTCACTGAGCGCCTTGTACACGGCTGCCAGCACCTGGGGACATATTGGGGACATTGGGGACACCATTGGGGACATTGGGGACAATGAGCGCCTTGTACACGGCTGCCAGGACCTGGGGACATTGGGGACACATTGGGGACACATTGGGGACACATTGGGGACATTGGGGACATTGAGAGCCTTGTACACGGCTGCCAGCACCTGGGGACATCAATGGGGACGTTGGGGATACATTGGGGACATCATTGGGGACATCATTGGGGTCACTGAGAGCCTTGTACACGGCTGCCAGCACCTGGGGACACATTGGGGACATCATTGAGGACATTGGGGACATTGGGGTCACTGAGAGCCTTGTACACGGCTGCCAGGACCTGGGGACATCATTGGGGACATCATTGGGGACATATTGGGGTCACTGAGCGCCTTGTACACGGCTGCCAGCACCTGGGGACACATTGGGGACATTGGGGACACTGGGGACATTGGGGACACTGAGGGCCTTGTACACGGCTGCCAGGACCTGGGGACATTGGGGACATTGGGGACACATTGGGGACACGTTGGGGACAATGAGAGCCTTGTACACGGCTGCCAGGACCTGGGGACACATTGGGGACATTGGGGACACCTTGGGGACATCACTGGGGACACATTGGGGACATCACTGGGGACACTGAGAGCCTTGTACACGGCTGCCAGGACCTGGGGACATCAATGAGGACACCAACGGGGACATTGGGGACACATTGGGGACATTGGGGACACATTGGGGACATCAATGGGGACATCACTGGGGACATTGAGGGCCTTGTACACGGCTGCCAGCACCTGGGGACACCAATGGGGACATTGGGGACATCATTGGGGTCACTGAGGGCCTTGTACACGGCTGCCAGGACCTGGGGACACATTGGGGACATCGGGGACATCAATGGGGACATCGGGGACATCAATGGGGACAATGAGGGCCTTGTACACGGCTGCCAGGACCTGGGGACATCATTGGGGTCATTGGGGACAGCCCTGGGGACACACCAGGTGCCATCACCTCCTGTCCAGGTGCCACCAAAGCTCCATAGGTGTCACCTGGAGGTGACACCAGGACAGGTTGGGGACACCTGGAGGGGACCCAAAGCCACTCAGGTGCCACCAAACCCCACCCAGATGCCACCAACCCCCTTCAGATGTCACCAAACCCCACCCAGATGTCACCAAACCCCTCCAGGTGTCACCAAACCCCACCCAGATGCCACCTCCTGGTGTCACCTCCTGGTGTCACCGGGTGCAGCGAGGGCTCAGGCCCCCCCCCCGGGGACACTTTGGGGACATTTGGGGACACGGGGGTGGCTCTGACCTTCTCGGTGACGTACTGGCACGTCTTGAGGTCGTGGTCACCGTCCGGGAGGATCTCGGGCTCCACGATGGGGACGATGCCGTTCTGGGGACATTGGGGACAACGGGGACACGTCAGGCATGGGGGACATTGGGGACATGGGGGACAACGGGGACATGTCAGGCATGGGGGACATTGGGGACATTGGGGACAACGGGGACATGTCAGACATTGGGGACAATGGGGACATTGGGGACAGTGGGGACAGTGGGGACATGTCAGACATGGGGGACATTGGGGACATTGGGGACAACAGGGACATGTCAGGCATGGGGGACATTGGGGACAGTGGGGACAATGGGGACATGTCAGACATGGGGGACATTGGGGACATTGGGGACAACGGGGACATGTCTGACATTGGGGACATTGGGGACAACAGGGACATGTCAGACATGGGGGACATTGGGGACAACAGGGACATTGGGGACACATTAGACATGGGGGACAATGGGGACATTGGGGACACTGGGGACACGTCAGACATTGGGGACATTGGGGACATTGGGGGACACGTCAGACATGGGGGACAATGGGGACAACGGGGACACATCAGACATGGGGGACATTGGGGACAGTGGGGACAATGGGGACACATCAGACATGGGGGACATTGGGGACAATGGGGACATGTCAGGCATGGGGGACATTGGGGACATTGGGGACATTGGGGACACGTCAGACACGGGGGACATTGGGGACACATCAGACATCGGGGACATTGGGGACAACGGGGACAATGGGGACATGTCAAACATTGGGGACATTGGGGACAATGGGGACACTGGGGACACGTCAAACATTGGGGACATTGGGGACATTGGGGACATTGGGGACACATTAGACATGGGGGACATTGGGGACATTGGGGACATTGGGGACAACAGGGACACGTCAGACATGGGGGACATTGGGGACACGGGGGACATTGGGGACATGTCAGACATGGGGGACATTGGGAACAATGGGGACATGTCAGGCATGGGGGACATTGGGGACAATGGGGACATTTGGGACACATCAGACATTGGGGACATGGGGGACAACGGGGACACGTCAGACATGGGGGACAATGGGGACAATGGGGACAACAGGGACATGTCAGATATGGGGGACAATGGGGACATGGGGAGGGGACAAGGTGGGGACAGCAGGAAGGGAGCCAAGGGCGCTCAGGTGCCACCAAATCCCATCCAAGTGCCACCAAAGCCTGTCCAGGTGCCACCAAAGCCTGTCCAGGTGCCACCAAACCCACTGCAAGTGCCACCAAACCTCCTCTAGATGCCACCAAACCACCATTAAGTGTCACTAAAACCCCCTCCAGGTGCCATTAAAACCTCTCCAGATGCCACCAAACCATCCTTAACTGCCACCAAATCCCCTCCAGGTGCCACCAGACCCCTTCCAGATGCCACCAAACCCCCTCCAGATGGACTAAACCCAGCCTAGATGTCACCAAACCTTCTGCATGCTCTAATAAACCCCCTCCAGATGCCACCAAACCCCCTCCAGATGCCACCAAACCCTTTCCAGATGGACCAAATCCAGCCTAGATGCCACCAAACATTCTCCAAGTACCACCAAACCCTCTCTAGATGCCACCAAACCCTCTGCATGCTCTAATAAACCCCCTCCAGATGTCACTAAACCCAGCCTAGATGCCACCAAACCCCCTCCAGATGTCCCCAAACCCTCTCCAGCTGTCACTAAACCCAGCCTAGATGCCACCAAACCCCCTCTAGATGGACTAAACCCAGCCTAAATGTCCCCAAACCCCCTCTAGATGCCACCAAACCCCTTCCAGATGGACTAAACCCAGCCTAGATGTCCCCAAATCCCCTCTAGATGTCCCCAAACCCCTTCCAGATGCCACCAAACCCCCTCCAGCTGCCCCCAAACCCCCACCCAGCCACCACCCTTGGATGGCGCCATCCCCAGCCCGTGTTGGGGACACTCGGGGACACTCGGGGACGGTTGGGGACCTGCTGGCAGATGCTGGCGTAGCGCGCCAGGACGTTGGCGTTCTCCATGACGGCGAGGCGCGTGGGCGTGTGCGGCGTGATCTTCAGCACGCAGCGCCACTTGGCAAAGTCAGCGCCGTCCTTCTTGTACTGGGCACAGCGCTCCATGAGCCCGTCCAGCCCTGGGGACATTGGGGACGTTTGGGACATTGGGGACATTGGGGATGCTGGGGACATTTGGGTCAATGGGGTCTATGGGGACACTGAGGACGTTGCAGTCATGGAGGTGCTGGGGACACTGGGGGCAATGGGGACACTGGGGACATTGGGGGCAATGGGGACATTGGGGATGTTTGGGTCAATGGGGACACTGAGGACATTGTGGTCATGGAGGACCTGGTGAGTGTTGGGGACACTGGGGACACTGGGGACATTGGGGGCAATGGGGACACTGGGGATGTTTGGGACACTGGGGACATTGGGGGCAATGGAGACATTGGGGATGTTTGGGTCAATGGAGTCAATGGGGACATTGCGGTCATGGAGGACCTGGAGAGTGTTGGGGACATTGGGGGCAATGGGGACATGGGGGACACTGGGGGGCACTGGGGACATTGGGGATACTGGGGACATTGTGGTCATGGAGGACCTGGAGAGTTTTGGGGACATTGGACGTGCTGGGGACACTGGGGGCAATGGGGACACTGGGGACATTTGGGTCAATGGGGTCAATGGGGACACTGAGGACATTGTGGTCATGGAGGACCTGGTGAGTGTTGGGGACATTGGGGACATTGGGGACATTGGGGACACTGGGGACACTTGGCAAAGTCAGCGCCGTCCTTCTTGTACTGGGCACAGCGCTCCATGAGCCCATCCAGCCCTGGGGACAGCACATTGGGGACATTGGGGACATTGGGGACAATGAGGACAATGAGGACATTGGGGATGCTGGGGACATTTGGGTCAATGGGGTCAATGGGGACACTGGGGATGTTTGGGACATTGGGGTCAATGGGGACACTGAGGACGTTGCAGTCATGGAGGTGCTGGGGGCACTGGGGACACTGGGGATACTGGGGGCAATGGGGATGTTTGGGACATTGGGGTCAATGGGGACACTGAGGACGTTGCAGTCATGGAGGTACTGGGGACATTGGGGGCAACGGGGACACTGGAGACATTGGGGACACTGGGGACATCAAGGGTGTTGGGGACATTGGAGGCAATCGGGACACTGAGGACATTGTGGTCACGAAGGACCTGGTGAGTGTTGGGGACACTGGGGGCAATGGGGATGTTTGGGTCAATGGGGACACTGAGGACACTGTGGTCATGGAGGACCTGGTGAGTGTTGGGGACATTGGGGACATTGGGGACACTGGGGGCACTGGGGACATTGGGGGCAATTGGGGGAATGGAGACATTGGGGGCAATGGGGACACTGGGGATGTTTGGGACACTGGGGATGTTTGGGACACTGGGGACATTGGGGACATTTGGGTCAATGGGGACATTGCGGTCATGGAGGACCTGGTGAGTGTTGGGGACACTGGGGGCAATGGGGACATTGGGGGCAATGGGGACACTGGGGACACTTGGCAAAGTCAGCGCCGTCCTTCTTGTACTGGGCACAGCGCTCCATGAGCCCGTCCAGCCCTGGGGACAGCACGGGGACAGCACGGGGACATTGGGGACACTGGGGACATTGCGGATGTTTGGGACATTGGGGACAATGGGGGCACTGGGGATGTTGGGGGCAATGGGGATGTTTGGGTCAATGGGAACACTGAGGACATTGTGGTCATGAAGGACCTGGAGAGTGTTGGGGACATTGGGGACAATGGAGACACTGGGGACACTGGGCACACTGGGGACATTGGGGGCAATGGGGACCTTGGGGACATTGGGGATGTTTGGGTCAATGGGGTCAATGAGGACATTGTGGTCATGGAGGACCTGGTGAGTGTTGGGGACACTGGGGACGCTGGGGACATTGGGGACATTTGGGTCAATGGGGACACTGAGGACGTTGCGGTCATGGAGGACCTGGAGAGTGTTGGGGACACTGGGGGCAATGGGGACATTGGGGACACTGGGGGGCACTGGGGACACTGGGGATACTGGGGGCATTGTGGTCATGGAGGACCTGGAGAGTTTTGGGGACATTGGACGTGCTGGGGATACTGGGGGCAATGGGGACATTGGGGATAATGGGGACATTGGGGATGTTGGGGATGTTTGGATCAATGAGGACATTGTGGTCATGGAGGACCTGGTGAGTGTTGGGGACACTGGGGACGCTGGGGACATTGGGGGCAATTGGGGGAATGGAGACATTGGGGACAATGGGGACATTGGGGGCAATGGGGACATTGTGGTCATGGAGGACCTGGTGAGTGTTGGGGACACTGGGGGCAATGGGGATATTGGGGATGCTGGGGACATTTGGGTCAATGGGGTCAATGGGGACACTGAGGACATTGTGGTCATGGAGGACCTGGAGAGTGTTGGGGACATTGGGGGCAATGGGGACACTGGGGACACTTGGCAAAGTCAGCGCCGTCCTTCTTGTACTGGGCACAGCGCTCCATGAGCCCGTCCAGCCCTGGGGACATTGGGGACATTGGGGACACTGGGGACATTGGGGACACTGGGGACGTTGGGGACGTTGGGGGCATTGGGGTCAATGGGGTCAATGAGGACATTGTGGTCATGGAGGACCTGGAGAGTGTTGGGGACATTGGGGACACTGGGGACATTGGGGGCAATGGGGACATTGTGGTCATGGAGGACCTGGAGAGTGTTGGGGACATTGGGGACACTGGGGACATTGGGGGCAATGGGGACATTGTGGTCATGGAGGACCTGGAGAGTGTTGGGGACATTGGGGGCAATGGAGACATTGGGGGCAATGGGGGCAATGGAGACATTGGGGACACTGGGGGCAATTGGGGCAATGGGGACATTTGGGTCAATGGGGACACTGAGAACATTGTGGTCATGGAGGACCTGGAGAGTTTTGGAGACATTGGGGACACTGGGGACATTGGGGACACTGGGCATGATTGGGACATTGGGGATATCAAGGGTGTTTGGGACACTGGGGACACTGGGGACACTGAGGATGTTTGGAGACATTGGGGACAATGGGGACATTGAGGATGTTATGGTCATGAAAGACCTGGAGAGTGTTGAGGACAATGAGGACATGGGGGACATGGGGGACATTGGGGACACAGGGCACTGTGGGGGACCTTGAGGGGACAGGGGACACAGGGCACTGAGGGAGCTCCAAGAGCCTGTCCAGCTCTGGGGACACTGGGGACATTGCAGTCATGGAGGACCTGGTGAGTGTTGGGGACACTGGGGACACTGGGGGCAATGGGGACATTGGGGACACTGGGGACATGGAGCATTGCAGGGGCTCCATGAGGCCACTGAGTCCTGGGGACAGTGGGGACATATTTGGGACATTGGGGACAGCAGGAGACATTGAGGATGTTTGGGGCAATGGGGACACTGGGGACATCAAGGGTGTTGGGGACATTGGGGGCAATGGGGACACTGAGGATGTTGTGGTCATGGAGGACCTGGTGAGTGTTGGGGACACTGGGGACATTGGGGACACGGAGCAATGCAGGGGCTCCATGAGGCCACTGAGTCCTGGGGACATTGGGGACATCAGGGGACATTGGGGACCCTGTGGTGGCATGGGCTGGGCTGGGCTGGGCGGGTGACACAGGGATGGGGACACCGTGGTGGCATCAGGGACACCATGGTGACAGGGATGGGGACATTGGGGTGGCACTGGGGACACATCGGGGACACAGCTGGGACAGGGACAGGGACACTGGTGGCATCAGAGATGGGGACATGGTGGTGACACGGGGATGGGGACACCATGGTGGCACTGGGGACACATCGGGGACACAGCTGGGACAGGGACAGGGACACCGTGGTGGCATCAGGGATGGGGACACGGTGGTGACACAGGGATGGGGACACCATGGTGGCACTGGGGACATATCAGAGACATTGCTGGGACAGGGACAGGGACACTGTGGTGGCATCAGGGACACCATGGTGACAGGGATGACGACAGAGCGGTGGCCTTGGGGACACAGCAGTGACAGGGATGGGGACACCATGACGGCATCAGGGACACAATGGTGGCCTTGGGGACAGGGCTGTGACAGGGACATGGTGGTGGCCTTGGGGACATGGTGGTGGCCGTGGGGACATTGCTGTCACTCACCCTGGGTCGTGGTCTCGCCGTTGGTGCCAGCCAGGGGCACCACGCCCTTGTCCACCTGGGGGACAGTGACACCGTCATGGGGACACCGGGGACACCAGCAGGGCCCCAAGGTGTCCCCGATGTCCCCAAGGTGTCCCCAATGTCCCAAAGACCCCAAATGTCCCCAAATGTCCCCACCTCACCCTCTGAACCCACCTCAGATGTGGCTCCCACCATTCCATGCTTGACCCAACTCAAGGAACACCCAACTCCCTCAATGTCCCTGACATTCCCGATGTCCCCGAGGTGTCCCCAAGGTGTCCCCAAGCTCCTCAAGACCCCAAACGTCCCCACCTCACCCTCTGAACCCACCTCAGATGTGGCTCCCACCTCCCCACGTTCAACCCAACTCAAGGAATGCCCAACGTCCCCAAGACACCTCAACCTCTCCAGGACCCCTCAATGTCCCCAAGTTCCCTCATTGTCCCCAATGCCCTAAAGACCCCAAATGTCCCTGAACTGTCCCCACCTCACCCTCTGAACCCACCTCAGATGTGGCTCCCACCTCCCCACGTCCAACCCAACTCAAGGAATGCCCAGCACCCTCAAATCCCCTCAAGGTCCCCAACATCCCCAGTGTCCCCAAGGTGTCCCCATTATCTCCAAGGTGTCCCCAATGCCCTCAAGACCCCAAACTGTCCCCACCTCACCCTCTGAACCCACCTCAGATGTGGCGCCCACCTCTCCACGGTTGACCCAACTCAAGGAACTCCCAACACCCCCAAGACCCCAAGGTGTCCCCAATGTCCTCAAGACCCCAAATGTCCCCAATTGTCCCCACCTCACCCTCTGAACCCACCTCAGATGTGGCTCCTCTGCTCCCACCTCCCCACATTCAACCCAACTCAAGGAACGCCCAACACCCCCATGGCCCCTCAAGGTCCCCAATATCTCCAAGGTGTCCCCAAGGTGTCCCCAATGTCCCCAAGGTGTCCCCAATGCCCTAAAGACCCCAAATGTCCCCAATTGTCCCCACCTCACCCTCTGAACCCACCTCAGATGTGGCTCCCACCTCCCCACGTTCAACCCAACTCAAGGAACGCCCACCGTCCCCAAATCCCCCAAGTCCCCAAGGTGTCCCCAAGGTGTCCCCGTGGTTGTCCCCGCGGTTGTCCCACCTTGATGCCCACCAGGGCGCCCTTGTCGCGGATGACCTGCGGGAAGGGGCGCCCGTCGTCGGCTTTCTGGTACATGGTCTCGTGGAACAGGATGACGCCGCCGATGCACGGCTCCACGCGCTTGTCGGCCGTGAACAGCAGCTGCCGGTACCAGCGCCGGTTCTCCTCCGTGTTCTCGGCGCCCACCGAGCTCAGCCGCTTGGCGATGCTGCCTGAGGGGGGCGGAGACCAGTAGAAACCAGTTAGAACCAGTAGAAACCAGTAGAAACCAGTAGAAACTGGTCCGAGCTGGCTGTGGGCCGTCAACAGCAGCTGCCGGTACCAGCACCGGTTTCTCTTCCGTGTTCTCGGCACCCACCGAGCTCAGACTGCCTGAGGGGGGGGGCACAGACCAGTTAGAACCAGTATAAACCAGTATGGACCAGTTAGAACCAGTATGGACCAGTTAGAACCAGTATAAACCAGTATGGACCCCTATGAACCAGTATAAACCAGTCTGGCTCAGCTGCTTGGCAATGCTGCCTGAGGGGGGCAGAGACCAGTAGAAACCAGTTAGAACCAGTATGGACCAGTTAGAATCAGTATAAACCAGTATGGACCCCTATGAACCAGTGTAAACCAGTCTGGCTCAGCTGCTTGGCGATGCTGCCTAAAGGGGGCACGGACCAGTTAGAACCAGTATGGATGAGTATGGGCCACTATAAACCAGTTGGAACCAGTATGGACCAGTTAGAACCAGTATGGATGAGTATGGGCCACTATAAACCAGTTAGAACCAGTATGGACCAGTATGGACCCCTATGAACCAGTGTAAACCAGTCTGGCTCAGCTGCTTGGTGATGCTGCCTGTGGGGGCATGGACCGGTTAGAACCAGTACAAACCAGTTAAAACCAGTATAAACCAGTGTGTTCCAGCCCATTCCCAGTCCATTCCTAGTATAACCCAGTCTGTCCAAGTCCATTCCCAGTATAACCCAGTATAACCCAGTATAACCCAGTCCATTCCCAGTCCACTCCCAGTCCAATCCCAGTCTGTCCCAGCCCATTCCCAGTATTACCCAGTATAACCCAGTATAACCCAGTATAACCCAGTATAACCCAGTATAACCCAGTGTGTCCCAGTCCATTCCAGTATAATCCAGTCCATCCCAGTATAACCCAGTGTGTCCAAGTCCATCCCAGTATAACCCAGTATAACCCAGTGTGTCCCAGTATAACCCAGTATAACCCAGTGTGTCCCAGCCCATTCCCAGTATAACCCAGTATAAACCAGTATAAACCAGTACAAACCAGTGGACTCATCGGAACCAGGATGCCCTTGCCGGGTGCCACGATGCGCTGGGCCATGGCCCCAGTGTGTCCCAGTCCATTCCCAGTATAACCCAGTATAACCCAGTATAACCCAGTGTGTCCCAGCCCATTCCCAGTATAAACCAGTATAAACCAGTACAAACCAGTGGACTCATCGGCAGCCAGGATGCCCTTGCCGGGTGCCACGATGCGCTGGGCGATGGCCCCAGTGTGTCCCAGTCCATCCCAGTATAACCCAGTATAACCCAGTGTAACCCAGTGTGTCCCAGTCCATTCCCAGCCCATTCCCAGTATAAACCAGTATAAACCAGTACAAACCAGTGGACTCATCGGCAGCCAGGATGCCCTTGCCGGGTGCCACGATGCGCTGGGCCATGGCCCCAGTGTGTCCCAGTCCATCCCAGTATAACCCAGTATAACCCAGTGTGTCCCAGTATAACCCAGTATAACCCAGTGTGTCCCAGTCCATCCCAGTATAACCCAGCCCATTCCCAGTCCATCCCACTGTGTCCCAGTCCATCCCAGTATAACCCAGTATAACCCAGTGTGTCCCAGCCCATTCCCAGTATAACCCAGCCCATTCCCAGTCCATTCCCAGTATAACCCAGTGTGTCCCAGCCCATTCCCAGTATAAACCAGTATAAACCAGTACAAACCAGTGGACTCATCGGCAGCCAGGATGCCCTTGCCGGGTGCCACGATGCGCTGGGCGATGGCCCCAGTGTGTCCCAGTCCATCCCAGTATAACCCAGTATAACCCAGTATAACCCAGTATAACCCAGTATAACCCAGTGTGTCCCAGCCCATTCCCAGTGTGTCCCAGCCCATTCCCAGTATAAACCAGTATAAACCAGTACAAACCAGTGGACTCATCGGCAGCCAGGATGCCCTTGCCGGGTGCCACGATGCGCTGGGCCATGGCCCCAGTGTGTCCCAGTCCATCCCAGTATAACCCAGTATAACCCAGTGTGTCCCAGTCCATTCCCAGTATAACCCAGTGTGTCCCAGTCCATCCCAGTATAACCCAGCCCATTCCCAGTCCATCCCAGTGTGTCCCAGTCCATCCCAGTATAACCCAGTATAACCCAGTGTGTCCCAGTCCATCCCAGTATAACCCAGCCCATTCCCAGTCCATCCCACTGTGTCCCAGTCCATCCCAGTATAACCCAGTATAACCCAGTGTGTCCCAGCCCATTCCCAGTCCATTCCCAGTCCATTCCCAGTCCCTCCCCAGTCCCTCCCAGTCCATCCCAGTCTATCCCAGTCTATCCCAGTCCATCCCAGTCTATTCCCAGTCTGTGCCAGTCCATTCCCAGTCCCTTCCAGTCTGTCCCAGTCCATTCCCAGTATAACCCAGTGTGTCCCAGTCCCTCCCAGTCTGTCCCAGTCCATTCCCAGTCCCTTCCAGTCTGTCCCAGTCCATTCCCAGTATAACCCAGTATAACCCAGTCCATTCCCAGTATAACCCAGCCCATTCCCAGTATAACCCAGTGTGTCCCAGCCCGTTCCCAGTATAACCCAGTATAAACCAGTACAAACCAGTGGACTCATCGGCAGCCAGGATGCCCTTGCCGGGTGCCACGATGCGCTGGGCCATGGCCCCAGTGTGTCCCAGTCCATCCCAGTATAACCCAGTATAACCCAGTGTGTCCCAGTCCATTCCCAGTATAACCCAGTGTGTCCCAGCCCATTCCCAGTATAACCCAGTATAAACCAGTATAAACCAGTACAAACCAGTGGACTCATCGGCAGCCAGGATGCCCTTGCCGGGTGCCACGATGCGCTGGGCCATGGCCCCAGTGTGTCCCAGTCCAACCCAGTATAACCCAGTGTGTCCCAGCCCATTCCCAGCCCATTCCCAGTATAAACCAGTATAAACCAGTACAAACCAGTGGACTCATCGGAACCAGGATTCCCTTGCCCGGTGCCATGATGCGCTGGGCAATGGCCCCAGTGTGTCCCAGTCCATCCCAGTATAACCCAGTATAACCCAGTGTGTCCCAGTCCATCCCAGTATAACCCAGTATAACCCAGTGTGTCCCAGTCCATCCCAGTATAACCCAGTGTGTCCCAGTCCATCCCAGTATAACCCAGTATAACCCAGTGTGTCCCAGCCCATTCCCAGCCCATTCCCAGTATAAACCAGTATAAACCAGTACAAACCAGTACAAACCAGTGGACTCATCGGCAGCCAGGATGCCCTTGCCGGGTGCCACGATGCGCTGGGCGATGGCCCCAGTGTGTCCCAGTCCATCCCAGTATAACCCAGTATAACCCAGTGTGTCCCAGTCCATCCCAGTATAACCCAGTGTGTCCCAGCCCATTCCCAGTATAAACCAGTATAAACCAGTACAAACCAGTGGACTCATCGGCAGCCAGGATGCCCTTGCCGGGTGCCACGATGTGCTGGGCCATGGCCCCAGTGTGTCCCAGTCCATCCCAGTATAACCCAGTATAACCCAGTGTGTCCCAGCCCATTCCCAGCCCATTCCCAGTATAAACCAGTATAAACCAGTACAAACCAGTGGACTCATCGGCAGCCAGGATGCCCTTGCCGGGTGCCACGATGCGCTGGGCGATGGCCGCCAGCTCCTTCTTCTGCTCAGGGGTGAGGGCGGGCACGGGCGGGGACATCCTGACGGGGCTGGTGGCACTGAGGGGACAATGATGACGTCACGGGGGGGGGTGGCGGTGACGTCATGGGGGCTGGGGGAGGGGCAGGGATATGGTTACAAATGGGGGGGGGGGGGGTTTACCAGAAAGGGAGGGAGGGAACTGGGGGGACTGGGAGGGGACTGGGAGGGAACTGGGGGCACTGGGAGGGGACTGGGAGGGAACTGGGGGGACTGGGAGGGACTGGGAGGGACTGGGAGGGAACTGGGAGGGACTGGGAGGGGACTGGGAGGGAACTGGGAGGGACTGGGGGCACTGGGAGCACTGGGAGAGCACTGGGAGCACTGGGAGTGAACTGGGGGGGACTGGGAGCACTGGGAGCACTGGGAGGGACTGGGAGTGAACTGGGAGCACTGGGAGGGGACTGGGAGCACTGGGAGGGCACTGGGGGCACTGGGAGGGCACTGGGAGGGACTGGGAGTGAACTGGGAGGGACTGGGAGGGACTGGAGGCACTGGGAATGAACTGGGAGGGACTGGGAGTGAACTGGGAGGGACTGGGAGGGACTGGGGGCACTGGGAATGAACTGGGAGGGACTGGGGACACTGGGAGTGGTCTGGAGGGACTGGGAGTGGTTTGGGGACACTGGGAGGGACTGGGAGGGGACTGGGATTGAACTGGGGACACTGGGAGTGGTCTGGGGACACTGGGAGGGGACTGGAGAGAACTGGGAGGGACTGGGAAGTGGACTGGGGGAACTGGGAGTGAACTGGGAGTGACTGGAAAAGGTCAGAGAGCACTGGGAGGGACTGGGGACACTGGGAGTGAACTGGGAATTAACTGGGACAGACTGGGAGGGACTGGGAGTGAACTGGGAATTAACTGGGAGGGACTGGGAGCACTGGGAGTGAACTGGGAATTAACTGGGAGCACTGGGAGGGAACTGGGAGGGAACTGGGAGGGACTGGGAGCACTGGGAGTGAACTGGGAATTAACTGGGAGCACTGGGAGGGAACTGGGAGGGACTGGGAGCACTGGGAGTGAACTGGGAATTAACTGGGAGGGACTGGGGACACTGGGAGGGAACTGGAATTAACTGGGAGGGAACTGGGAGGGACTGGGAGCACTGGGAGTGAACTGGGAGGGAACTGGGAGGGACTGGGGAGCACTGGGAGGGACTGGGAATTAACTGGGAGGGACTGGGAGGGACTGGGGGGGAAGAACCCCAGGATTTGGAGGGGAAAACCCCAAAATTTTGAAGGGAAAATCCCAAAATTTTGAGGGGAAAACCCCAAAATTTTGAAGGGAAAATCCCAAAAATTTGAGGGGAAAATCCCCAAAAATATGAAGGGAAAATCCCAAGATCTGAAAGGGAAAACCCCAAGATTTTGAGGGGAAAACCCCAAAATTTTGAAGGGAAAATCCCCAGGATTTTGAGGCAAAAACCCCAAAATTTTGAGGGAAAATCCCCAGGATTTTGAGGCAAAAACCCCAAAATTTTGAGGGAAAAACCCCGGGATTTTGAGGTCAAACCCCCAAAATTTTGAAGGGAAAATCCCAAAATTTTGAAGGGAAAATCCCAAAATTTTGAGGGGGAAACCCCAAGATTTTGAAGGGAAAACCCCAAAATTTTGAGGGGGAAATCCCAAGATTTGGAGGGGAAAACCCCAAAATTTTGAGGTAAAACCCCCAAGATTTTGAGGGGAAAACCCCCAGGATTTTGAGGTAAAAACCCCAAAATTTTGAGGTAAAATCCCCAGGATTTTGAGGGAAAACCCTCAAGATTTTGAGGGGAAAACCCCAAAATTTTGAAGGGAAAATCCCAGGATTTTGAGGGGGAAATCCCAGGATTTTGAGGGAAAACCCCCAAGATTTTTAGGGAAAACCCCAAGACTTTGAGGAGAAAAACCCAAAATTTGGAGGGGAAACCTCCAGGATTTTGAGGTAAAAACCCCAAAATTTTGAGGGAAAATCCTCAGGATTTTGAGGGGAAATCCCAAGACTTTGAGGAGAAAACCCCAAAATTTGGAGGAGAAAACCCCAAGATTTTGGGAGAAAACCCCCAAGATTTGGAGGGGAAAATCCCAAGATTTTGAGGAGAAAACCCTCAAATTTTGAGGAAAAAACCCCAAAACTTGAAGGGAAAAACCCCAAACTTTTTAGGGGAAAACCCCGGGATTTTGAAGGGAAAAATCCCAAGATCTGAAAGGGAAAAACCCAAGACTTTGAGGGGCAGACCCCAAGATTTTGAGGGAAAACCCCCAGGATTTTGAGGTAAAACCCCCAAAATTTTGAAGGGAAATCCTTGAAATTTTGAGGGGAAAACCCCCAGGATTTTAAGGGTAAACCCCAAAATTTTGAGGTGAAAACCCCCAAACTTTTTAGGGGAAAACCCCCAGGATTTTAAGGGTAAAACCCCAAAATTTTGAGGTGAAACCCCCAACAGTTTTAGGGAAAACCCTCAAGATGTTGATGGCAAATCCCAAAGATTTTGGAGGGAAATCCCAAAAATCTTGAGGGAAAAGCCTCAAATTTCGAGAATTTTGAGGTGAAACCCACAACATTTAAACCAAAAACCCCAAGATTTGAAGAGGGAACCGCCAGGATTTTGAAGGGAAATCCCTGAAATTTTGAGGTAAAACCTGCACAGATTTATGGGACAAGAAAAAACCCCAAAGTGGAGAAAAAAAGCCCCGGATGTTCTCAGGGGGGCACCCACCGAGTGTCCGGAGAGGTTCGGGAGTGTTCGGGAGTATCCGGAAGTGTCCGGAGAGGTTCGGGAGTGTTCGGGAGTTTCCGGAGAGGTTCGGGAGTGTCCGGAAAGGTTCGGGAGTGTCCGGAGAGGTTCGGAAAGGTTCGGAGAGGTTCGGAAGGGTTCGGAGAGGTTCGGGAGTGTCCGGAGAGGTTCGGGAGTGTCCGGGAGCTGCGGGAGCCGATCCGGGAATGGCCGAGGGAGCCCCGAACCCGGCAAGGGCCCCGGGCCAGCCCCGCCCCCGCCAAGGGCGTTTCAAGGGGAGGAGGAGGAGGAGGAGGAGGAGGAGGAGGAAGGAGGAGAAACGGGGAAAGCACCGGGCAGGGGCCGCTCCCCTACCCCGCCCCGCCGCCGGGGGAACCCCAAATCCGAACTTTGGAACCCCAAATCCGCCTGTGGAACCCCAAATCCGCCTTTGGAATCATCAAATTCGCCTGAGGAACCCCAAGTCCGCCTGAGGAACCCCAAATCCGCGTTTGGAAACCCCAAATCCGCCTGTGGAATCATCAAATTCGCCTGAGGAACCCCAAATCCGCCTGAGGAACCCCAAATCCGCCTTTGGAATCATCAAATTCGCCTGTGGAGCCCCAAATCCGCCTTTGGAATCATCAAATTCGCCTCTGGAATCATCAAATCCGCACTTTGCACCCCAAATCCGCCTTTGGAATCATCAAATTCGCCTCTGGAATCATCAAATTTGCACTTTGCACCCCAAATCCACCTTTGGAATCATCAAATCCGCCCGTGGAGCCCTAAAATCGGCACTTTGCGCCCCAAATCCGCACTTTGCACCCCAAATCCGCCTTTGGAATCATCAAATCCGCCTGTGGAGCCCTAAAATCGGCACTTTGCACCCCAAATCCGCCTGTGGAGCCCTAAAATCCGCACTTTGCACCCCAAATCCGCCCTTTGGAATCATCAAATCCGCCTGTGGAGCCCTAAAATCCGCCCTTTGCACCCCAAATCCGCACTTTGGAACCCATAAATTCGGCTTTTGCGGCTCAATTTCTGCCTTTTGAACGCCACTTTTGAGTTTTCACCCCCAAATTCAACTTTTGCACCCTGAAATCTGCCTTTTGAGCACCCCCAAATTCAACTTTTGCGCCCCAAAATTCAATTTTTGCACCCCAAATTCGACTTTTTTCACCCCAAAATCCACCATCAGAACCCCAAAATTCGACTTTTTCACCCACAAATCTGCATTTTTACCCCCAAAATCTGCAGTTTCCACCTCAGAATTTCTTCCCGCACCACTAAAATCCAAAATCCACCCCAGAGCCCAAAATTTGCACTTTTCACCTCAAAATCACCACTTTTTACTTCAGGATTTCCTCCCAATCCGCAAAATCTGCCTTTTTCACCCCAAAATCTCCTTTTTTACCTCAAAACCGGCACTTTTTCCCTCAAAATCTCCCTTTTTTACCTCACGATTTATTCTCCCACCACAAACTCTGCCCCGGCTCCCAAAATCTGCACTTTTCACCTCAAAATCTGCACTTTTTTTCCTTCAGGATTGCCCTCCGCCTCCAAAATCTGCTATTTCCACTCCAAAATCTTCATTTTTACCTCAAAATCTGCTTTTTTATCTCAATATCTCCACTTTTTACCTCACGATTTCCTCACCCACCACAAAATCTGCCCCAGCTCCCAAAACCCGCACTTTTCACCTCAAAATCTGCACTTTTTACCTCAAAATCTGCACTTTTTACTTCAGGATTTCCTCCCAATCCCCAAAATCTGCCTTTTTCACCCCAAAATCTTCATTTTTACCTCAAAATCTGCTTTTTTATCTCAAAATCTCCCTTTTTTACCTCACGATTTCCTCACCCACCACAAAATCTGCCCCAGCTCCCAAAATCTGCACTTTTTACCTCAAAATCACCACTTTTAACTTCAGGATTTCCTCCCAATCCCCAAAATCTGCCTTTTTCACCCCAAAATCTCATTTTTTACCTCAAAACCGGCACTTTTCCCCTCAAAATCTCCCTTTTTTACCTCACGATTTCCTCTCTTACCACAAAATCTGCCCCGGTTCCCAAAATCTGCACTTTTCACCTCAAAATCTGCACTTTTTTTCCTTCAGGATTGCCCTCCGCCCCCAAAATCTGCTATTTCCCCTCCAAAATCTTCATTTTTACCTCAAAATCTGCTTTTTTATCTCAATATCTCCACTTTTTACCTCACGATTTCCTCACCCACCACAAAATGTGCCCCAGCTCCCAAAATCTGCACTTTTCACCTCAAAATCACCACTTTTAAAACTTCAGGATTTCCTCCCGCACTCCCAAATCTGCCTTTTTCACCCCAAAATCCGCCTTTTTCACCCCAAAATCCACTTTTTTACTTCAAACCCGGCACTTTTCCCCTCAAAACCTGCGCGTTTTTCCCTCACGACTTCCTCCAACCGCCCAAAACGTTTCCCCGGACGCCCAAAATTCGCCTTTTTTCCCCTCAAATTCCGCCTTTTCACCCCAAATTCCGCCTTTTCCACCCCAAATTCAGCCCCTTTTCCCTCACAGCTCCACGCCCTGCCCCGAATTCTCCCTTTTTCACCCCAAAATTCGGCCCCGCCCCTCCCCGACCCCACCTGGGCTCTGCAGCGGCGCTCGCGGGGCGTGGGCGGAGCTTAAGATGGTGACGTCACCGCGCGCCCGCCCCGAGTGGGCGGAGCCTTAAAAGGGCAACGCCGCGAGCTGAGTCACGGTGGGGCCCACCGGGGGTTTTGGGGTCCCGGGGGGGATTTTGGGGGGTCCCGAGCGAATTTTGGGGGGTCCCGAGCGAATTTTGGGGTTTTTTAGGGGTGGCGGTGCGAATTTTAGGGTGCCTGAGGTGTTTTTGGGGTACGGAGGGGGAGATTTTGGGGGTTCGTGGTCAATTTGGGGGCGTCACTTTTGGGGTTCGGGGGCGCCATTTTGTGGTTTTGGGGGGATTTTGGGGTTTCTGGGGGGATTTGGGGACAATCCCGGGGCATTTTGGGGTCCTGAGGGGATTTTGGGGTCCTGAGGGGATTTGGGATCAATCCCGGAGGATTTTGGGGTCCTGAGGGGATTTTTGGGGTCCCAGAGGGGATTTTGGGGTCCCAGAGGGGATTTTGGGGTCCTGAGGGGATTTTGGGACAATCCCGGGGGATTTTGGGGTCCTGAGGGGATTTTGGGGTCCCAGAGGGGATTTGGGGTCAATCCCGGGGGATTTTGGGGTCCTGAGGGGATTTGGGGTCAATCCCGGGGGATTTTGGGGTCCTGAAGGGATTTTGGGGTCCCAGAGGGGATTTGGGGTCCCTGAGGGGATTTTGGGGTCCTGAAGGGATTTTGGGGTCAATTCCGGGGGGATTTTGGGGTCCTGAGGGGATTTTGGGGTCCTGAGGGGATTTTTGGGGTCCCTGAGGGGATTTTGGGGTCCTGAGGGGATTTGGGGTCAATCCCGGGGGATTTGGGGTCAATCCCGGGGCATTTTGGGGTCCTGAGGGGATTTTGGGGTCCCGGAGGGGATTTTGGGACAATCCCGGGGGATTTTTGGGGTCCTGAGGGGATTTTGGGGTCCTGAGGGGATTTTGGGACAATCCCGGGGGATTTTGGGGTCCTGAGGGGATTTGGGGTCAATTCCGGGGGATTTTGGGGTCCTGAGGGGATTTTGGGGTTTCTGGGGGGATTTTGGGGTCCTGAGGGGATTTGGGGACAATCCCGGGGGATTTTGGGGTCCTGAGGGGATTTTGGGACAATTTCGGGGGGATTTGGGGGAATTTTAGGGAATTTTGGGGAATTTTAGGGAATTTTGGGGAATTTAAGGGGATTTTGGGGAATTTTAGGGGATTTTGGGGTTTCTCTCTCTCCCCGACCAATTTTGGGGGTTTTTTTTTCGGATTATTTTGGGGTTTTTTTAGGGTCTCCCTCCCCCAGGCAAATTTTGGGGCTTTTTTGGGGGGTCTCCCTCCCTCTCAGACCGATTTTGGGATTTTTTAGGATATTTTGGGTTTTTTTTTAGGATTTTTTGGTGTCCCCCTCTCTCCCAATCCCATTTTAGGATTTTTTTGCATTATTTGGGATTTTTTTTGCATTATTTGGGATTTTTTTTTGCATTATTTTGGTGCCTCCCACCCCCCCAATCCCATTTTAGGATTTTTTTAGGATTTTTCGGTGCCTCCAATCCCATTTTAGGATTTTTTTAGGATTTTTTGGTGTCTCCCACCCCCCAATCCCATTTTAGGATTTTTTAGGATTTTTTGGTGTCTCCCTCCCTCCCACTCCCATTTTAGGATTTTTTAGGATATTTTGGTGTCCCCAATCCCATTTTAGGATTTTTTTAGGATTTTTTAGGATTTTTTAGGATTTTTTAGGATTTTTTTAGGATTTTTTAGGATTTTTTAGGATTTTTTAGGATTTTTTTTTCTCCCTCTCCCCCACTCCCATTTTAGGATTTTTTTAGGATTTTTTTAGGATTTTTTAGGATTTTTTAGGACTTTTTTAGGATTTTTTTAGGATTTTTTTTTCTCCCTCCCTCCCAATCCCATTTTAGGATTTTTTAGGATTTTTTTAGGATTTTTTTAGGATTTTTCAGTGCCTCCCTCTCCCCCACTCCCATTTCAGGATTTTTTAGGATTTTTTAGAATTTTTTAGGATTTTTTAGGATTTTTCGGTGCCTCCCTCTCCCCCACTCCCATTTTAGGATTTTTTAGGATTTTTTAGGATTTTTTTAGGATTTTTTAGGATTTTTTAGGATTTTTTAGGATTTTTTTTTCTCCCTCCCCCCCCCACTCCCATTTTAGGATTTTTTAGGATTTTTTAGGATTTTTTAGGATTTTTTAGGATTTTTTAGGATTTTTTAGGATTTTTTTTCTCCCTCTCCCCCACTCCCATTTTAGGATTTTTTAGGATTTTTTTAGGATTTTTTTAGGATTTTTTAGGATTTTTTAGGATTTTTTAGGATTTTTTTTTTTCTCCCTCCCCCCCACTCCCATTTTAGGATTTTTTAGGATTTTTTAGGATTTTTTAGGATTTTTTAGGATTTTTTAGGATTTTTTAGGATTTTTCGGTGCCTCCCTCCCCCCCAATCCCATTTTAGGATTTTTTGGTGCCTCCCTCCCCCCCACTCCCATTTTAGGATTTTTTAGGATTTTTTAGGATTTTTTAGGATTTTTCGGTGCCTCCCTCTCCCCCAATCCCATTTTAGGATTTTTTAGGATTTTTTTAGGATTTTTTTTTCTCCCTCTCCCCCA